GAAAACATTTACTATCAAACAGACAGTGTAAGTAACAGTCATACATTCTCAAAAAACAGCTGGTGTCTAAAGATATACATCTACAGCGGAGGTATGCAGGATATGTTATTATGCTAATAAAAAGTCAAACCAAAATACCTGAATTGAAAAAATGATGTTATCAAATGTCTGATTTTGCATAATTATCCCTAACCTTTTTTAAAAACAGCAGCTGAATGTCACAGACCATTTTGTTCTGTTTTGAACTTTTCATGTATAATTAATTAAATCTTATATAACATTTAGTCTATATATTTTAAATACTTTATGCAGCATATATTTTAAATAAGTAATTTTTAACAACCATTAATTTTTAACAGAATTTTTGTTGATGTGGAGACCAACTTCGATACATAAAAAAGAAAATGAAATGCTGATTGACATACACACTCCTGTAACATACATCAAACTTATTTATAACATTTGGTACATGTAGGTTAAAATACAGACAAAAACAAGATTTATAGCATGTGCATTCATTCCAATTATTAAATTAATATCATTACTGGCATAACCTCAGTTTTATAAAAAAAATCTCCTTTCTTAGCTGAAATGAACAACGATATATTCAGAAACTAGGAAACTGAATATTACAAAGTGCAGCATCAACTTTACTTACATATTCCACATTACATATCAAATTAGTTGTATTTTCAAAAGAAAAATATTTAAAGAGATAACAAAAATAAAGATATTTTGTGTTATTTTTAGCTTATAGCCAATTATTTGTAGTTTTTAATTAAGATTCAATAATGGAGGCTTAATATATAAAGAAATCTAATGATTATTTCTCTTTGTTTTCTTATTAGCAATAGGATCCCCTATTTTCACATTTTGATTTTTTTAATTTATATTTTTTCTTATCATAAGCTTTTTAAAATTTTTAGGACTTTGAAAGTAATTCTTTCATCAAAACAATGGACATTTTCAAATTAAAAAGCAGCCCTTAACAATAAAGAAGCATAAATATCATTATAAATGTATTTCAAACAATACATTATTTTCTAGCAATGCATATCCTGTTATCTAAAAATAGCTGCCCGAAAAGAGCTTTTCCCACACAATCAAGAATCAAATACACTCGTTAAAATCTGAATATAGCATATCTGTGGTAACAAATGGAGCCAGGTACAAGTCACATAATCACAAGCATCTAATTGGTTGACTTTGATCACATGTTTTGAACTGGCCAATGGTAAGACTTTAAATTTGGTACCCAAATCAGCTTAACATGTTTATTGCCTTGCTACGTTTGTATGGTATATCATTTATCAATGAAGTGAAAGGAAAATATAGAGAAGAGGATAGGTTTGAAAAACATCATTTCCTTTAGTGAAACAGCATATAAAATTTATACTTTATGCACATCTGACTCTGTGCCAACACTGGTAAAATATCAAACTCAATTGTGAAGAAAAACAGAGAGCTAATGGGACTTCGTTCATGATATCTAGCAACTGATAAAAGTGTTATTAACAAATTTTGTTGGCAAGGAAGAAGCAATATACATTTTAAAATAATACGTTTTTCTCAAATATTGCATGCCTTACATCTGTAAGTCGTCACTTTTCTCAAAATAAAATAGGCAGGGGAAACAAGTAAAAATTCATTTAGTTAGCTTGTCAACAGTCTATGGTCTCACAAAACTTAAGTTACATTGGACATTTTGATCAATGAAATACACCAGTCAAACAATGAACATTTTGATCATCAAAATACCTTATTCTCACAATAGACATTTTGATGATCAATATACCTCAGTCAAACAATGGACATTTCCAAATTAAAAGCATGACAAGAAGTCTATTTATTTAACAATGTATGACTTACAATGCTACTGGAGAGTTTTGTACATATGTTCAGAGTGCTGCGAGTTATAAAATCTGAATGGATGATTTTCTGGTTTATATACAAATGGATCTAAAGAAGTAAAGATGACAGAGATTTTTTTTTTTTGGAACACGATAGATACAGTTAAACACATTTCTCATACAACCATAAAATTATTCCAGCCAGGGCCTTAAATTTGTAACAAAGACATCAAAGAAATGCCTAAAAATAATATTACTAAATTGACTCATTTCTTTCCACTTGATTTCATAATGCTAAAAGTTTTAACTAAATGTAACGTGGTACTTAGTGAATAAACCTTATCAATTTAACTCAAAATCAGTGCTGTCTCATCATGGTTTGCACTGGTTGCTTTTCTTTTTTGAATTTTTCCCTGAAATTGACAAATGGTTTTGCCCAGGTTGAAAGACACACAAGTCCATTCAAGATATTTAGGGTGGTAAGGGTTATGGAATTAGATCCATTTATTTGTAAAGTGGGAACTTATTATTTCACTGAAGTTGTATCGTATCATATTATAGTTTATTTTGTTTTGTTTTTTTAAAAAAGCAATTTTCATTTTAAATACTCAATGTAAAAGGCAAACCTATAAAATGGTCATATCTCACTCTCCATAAACAATGTTGAGACAAACTTTAACAGCCCAAGTTTTAGAAAGCCTAGCAATGGTTTTAAAATAGGACAATCAAATAAGGAGCAGTTTTAAATTCAAATATCAAGAATGTATTTCATTAAAACTGCTGATTGGCTGAATTTAAATTTAAAATTGACCAATGAGAAATTACCATTCAGAGATTTATTTTTGACAGAATATAATTTTTTTTTTTTAATTCCAAATTTTCCCCAAAAACCTTTACTCCTGGCTTCTTTATCAAGCAATTAGCCGAGACCCTGGCTGGAGCATTATTCAAGGTTACTTTTTATACATAGCACAACTTCTAGACATGATACATATAATAACTAATGACAGGATACAAAACAAATAAATAAAATATTGAGGTAGAAAAAACAATACATTAAATAACACAAACCCTTATATCATTTTCTAAGATAAACACAAAAAAAAATTATCTCAATAAACAGACACAATATAATGTTAACAGAAAAAAAAAATTTACTCGTAAAATTAAAATAAAAAATTTAAAATAAAAATGTCACTAACACTGAATGTTCCGAGAGAAAACATCTTCGTACTGGTATGCATGTATTTAACAAGTAAAAAAAAAAAACAGAGAAAAAATGAGGGAAACAAACTAATAAAATAGTGTGAAAAAATATTCTCTAACAATGGGATATAAAAATCGAAGAACTTTTTTAATTCAATAAATATATGTAATCAATAATACTTTATACAAATAACTAGCCATTCTCTTTACCAGTATTTTTATGGTTGCAAAATAACATAATATAATTTCTAATGCTTTTAAATGATGTTTGTGTTAAAAATACAAATAACAGGATTAATTAAACAGTGCAAAGTTATATTAATGTACAGAAGACATCATTTTTACAGCCCGCTCATCTCCCCCCCCCCCCCACCTTAATTGTTTTTCTTTTTAAGTTAACATATTTTTTAAACTGTTTAACCCCATTTAAGGCACATTATGCCGCAGAAATCCAGATCTTTTTAATTTTTTAGAAATGTTAAACATGTGTTTCTAATGATGTTTAAATAATGGATTAAGAGCATGTTAGATGTTTTACATATGAAAAATGTAGCACTAAACATGCAGTTATGTGTCGTAAAGGTAGCAAAATGTAAACAAAGTAGTATTTTGACTTCCATAAAATGTTCTAATTCACAATAGTTATACAAATTGCCAACAGAGCTAAAGATGCGAAAAATAGGTTATATATGTAGGTATTAAATGAGGATATTTTTGGAAACTGTAATAACAATATACCAAAAATAAACAGTTTTAGAGAAATGACAGCATTTCTGAGGCATAATGGGCCTTTAAAATAAAATATGAATCGCAAAATGTAAGCTTAAGTTAAATTTAAGACTAAAGAGAAGCATTTTAAACCATGGGAAAAAAATCAATGAATAATGTTTATATATCTGATGAATTTTATAATTATCAATTATAAGGTTCCGCATTTTTTCTTGACACAGTTCACAGATCTAGGCTTTAAAATAATAAAAATAAAAACAAATGGCAGCTTTTAAAATTGGAGCTCGCTAAAAAAAAATTGAAAAAGAAAAAACAACAACTGAACATCACAATTATTTTTATACAGCACATAAATATACCATGATTAAAATGTAATAATGACAGTATGAGAATTAAATTAACTTCAGAATAATTCGTTGATTTACACATTGTTCATGACCAGGTTTATATTCTAATGACCTTTGACCCTTTGAATGCTCAGGTTTATATTCTAATGACCTTTGACCCTTTGAATGCTCAGGTTTATATTCTAATGACCTTTGACCCTTTGAATGCTCAGGTTTTATATTCTAATGACCTTTGACCCTTTGAATGCTCAGGTTTATATTCTAATAACCTTTGACCCTTTCAATGCTCAAGTTTTATTCTAATGACCTTGACCCTTTCAATGTTCAGGTTTTATATTCTAATGACCTTTGACCCTTTGAGTGCTCAGGACAAAAATGCCTCGCTACAGTGAGGTAATTCAACCAGACCGTCAACCACATTCTGTGCTGTCAGAATACACTTTATACTATTTACCTATTTTTGTATTCTATTTGTTACCTATTTTAAGTAAACTGATTCCAAAATCCCTGATGTAACAGACTGTTCTTATTCAAGGGACCAGTTCATTTCACTCAGCAGGGAATCAGACTAATTTATTCCATTTTGTTTGTTTGTAAAATTTAAAAAACATTACGGCAAAACTACCTATCTGACAGTATCTAGAACTTTAAACTGAACATTTTTATCCATTTCTTTACATTTAAGATTACATTGTATTGTCCAACAGCTTTACTGGTAGAATAAGACTTTAAAAAACATCTTAAATATCAGCAACAAAAATAATGATTTTCATAATTTGAAACACCAGAGCTCAATAGAATTATTTTCAAGACTTGAAATTCAAAATTAATACATTAATTCTTCTAATAAAAATTCCATAGTTATTTTTATTGTGCTAGAAACATTGTTTTCTCCTGACCAATAAAGACAATAAAAGAGGTCAAAGACAATAAAAGAGGCCAAAGACAATAAAAGAGGTCAAAGACAATAAAATACGCCAATGAAAAAAAAATGAGAACAAGGTCATAAACAATGTGAATCAAGACGATATTAAAGGATGACCCGTATAACCTGAGGATTATGTCTGTTCAGACACTATAATAAAGTCAATAAAATTGTGGACGACCCCGTCAAGTTCTTGACGCAACAATGCGCTATGGTAAAATCTCTCCCATGCGACTTAAGTGTTTTTCTCTCTCCAATTTTCACAACAATGCCCCTCAGCTATCAAAATGAAATATTCTTTAAACCTTAAATACTCATTTCATAATTTTCTACAATCATTGTAATTCAATTTATATTCAGTTCATCTCTAGCACAATGCTCAAAAATACATTCTCAGTTGTTTCCTCAGTGCAACAGCCTTCTCATTTCATTACCTTTTTCATTAACACTTTTTTTGAAGAGGGCATAAAATCTTTTCTCCGTAATTTTTCCCCGCTAATTTTGTTCCCAGTTTCATCGGGCTCGTTTTTGGTTTATAATACTATATGCTTCTGGTGTACTGAGCCGATGTCTGGTGAACAGTTTGTTCAGTATGTAACGAGCGCAATCCACTCACTCTTACATGTAATTATATCTCAATCAATGAATAAACTTCAGCACATAATGTACTTCCGTTCCACTGTTTTAACAATAACATTAACACTTCGCAAGGGATATTGAAACAATGGCACTTATTTCTCAAGATAAATGAACAATTAACAAATGCCATCATGTTGGAGCGTTGTATAATGATGAATGTGATCGAGATAAGTCGTTCAATTCAGTGCCGATAAAATACAAGCTTTCTTCGTACAACATCTTACGCTACTATCGTAATAATGACATAAATTTAATCATCGGCATGTAAGTTTTAACACAAAATCTTCTGCTGGTAGATCACTATTAGCATTTTTTAATTCACTTTTTTATTCCTGTATCACTTATTTCAAAGTTTTGGTTGAAGATCCACAGTAAAACACTTCAAAAAGAATTCATATGAAAAATATAGTTACGTCGTACACATCAACAGATTATCGTGATAGAATGTAAATCCCTTGAGATTCCATACAATCTCTGAGAACATCAGCTTTAAGTCAACCCACAAATATTGTCCCTTTGTGGTGTTTTACATATTATGTATATATATATTTTATATATAATATATATTACTCTTCAATCACTGAGAAAAACTTGGCAAAATAATACAAATGTACAAGTTAACAATGTCATCTCAATGTCAATCCATAAATATATACATGAATATTAAATTAAAAAGTGGATAACTATCACTGGACATTTCTTTTCACAATTACTATATCTTTTTTTTTTAATTCACCGGGATTTTTTTTCTCTCTAGTTTTTTCATCACATATTAATAGGCTGTAGTCTATATATCTGAACTCAGAGAAGATCAACACTTTTTTTCAACTTATGGCAATAACCCATGGCAATATGATTCTCCTTGGGGCAAAAACGAAATACATCTGAAGTCCTTTTTTTCTAATATGAGATTGGTTTCTAAATGCAGAACATATTCCGGAATGCTCAATCAAGCACTCCAATGTGTGTTTGTTTCATTTTTACACAAATTGTTCATAAAATGCCCATTTTCTAGATGACACACTGTCTTTTGTTATGTTTCAAATGAACTAAATCTTGATTCTGAGGAGTATGGAAAAATAATATATGAAATTAAATGTACAACTGGCCATTATATATCAAATTTAGTAAATGAATAATAATTTATGCAAATTTATGCAAATGAGGTACTTAAGAAGAACACTGAGCCAATCATGTTTTAGAAGGCATTAACGTGATGCAAAATCTTATCTATAATAATCATAAGTAACACAAGTCCCTGTAGATTCCTGCAATCACTAATCCCTGTGAAAGGACTCCCTGTATCTAATGTAAAAACTACTGGCAATATCTCCTGAGTATGGTTAAAGTTTCTACTGAAGATGCAAATTTACCTGCCCACCCCAATCCCTATCTTTGAAAGAAAAGAAAATAATTTCCTACATGAAAACCTAATTCTTCCAAATCGATGAAATCTTTTCAAAATAAGACTTCTCTTTATCACTTTCCTGTTCAAATTAATTCTTTTTTTTAAACACAGGTTTGAAGCATCAATTATCTGCAACTTGAGTTGATCTGTTGACATTTTATTGGGTTCTCTTTTTTTTTTTGCGACATCTTTTAAAGGTTGAACTGAACACTAACTGGATTCAATGCGTATGGTGATAATTATATAGAATGGGAAATTTAAATGCATTGATTTCTGATTTCCGATGGTAGGTAATGGCGGATTGATGGATGAAATTTCCTTGATGTATTTCAAAACAGCAAGCTCTTCAACTGGTGAGGTAGATATGTTTAAAACTGTCAAGGGAGGTAATTCTAAGTGGATATAGGGACAGAAGACCCTGGAGTGGTTTCAACGTATCCATCCTCGTGTTCCGGAGTCTCTCTAACGCCCATGCTTCTTTTAAAAGGTCCTGATGAAAATACTGAAAGATAAATATAACTTTTTTACATTACACAAAAAAACGTATAATTCCTTGAGTAGATCTAGAATAACGGGTATGTCAAATAAAATGTTGGGAGATATATGAAGCATTGAAAGCCATAACAGAATAAACACAAAAAGAACTGTATTTATGTACTTGAATTTCCGAAAAAATCTTTCTTGCACACTATATTGTGTTTGGGCATAAAAAGTGAACTTATTCTTCAATCAAGTTTACCTGAAAATATTAACCAAGCAATTCCTTTCTAGACTGGTTGACCAACTCGAGGTATTTGCTTGAAAAGCATACCCTTTACTTGGAACAAACAGCCCTTTTCAGGGCTACCTCCTTTTCATATCATTTCAGGTAACTGTACATTTAGGTTCTCATTGGCCACCAGACAGTGACCTACTTTTGGATCAAAATTCATGTCTATGGCTAACACTCCGTTGAAATTTTGCATGAAGGTAAATTATCACCACTTTGTGCTTCAAAATTTACCCTTTAAGGGCATAACTGGTGACATGTCCGGGGTCCATACTCGAAAGCGAAAGCTGCTTTTTGTGCCCCAGGCGAAAGGATGTACCCTCATTAAACGTATACTACAAACATTCACTGGAGGTATATTAAAGCACGACAGATTGGACTTACATTTTCCTGAGTGGGTATGGATGAACCATAGAGCCCCCATCATCATGGCTCCTATGATAAATGCAGCAAAGGCTATACCAACCACCGTCCCCGAGTCAAGCCCTTCTATAACCAATGGCTCCTTGTTACCTCCGGCTACCTCACCAGTTTCTGGTACATCTGTTTCTATCTTTACCACTGAAGAGTCTGTACCTTCTGGAAGGAAAAAACAGAAGGTTAGAGCATTTAGATTTCACAATAGTTGTTATAGAGAACTATGAAAATGTTAAAGTACCTGTCAAATGAATGACTAAGACTTATTTCAATCTAACAATATGCACAATACCTGTTATTGTAATTTCCTGATTTTTTTTCCTAGTTACATGACTTGTTTTAAAACTTCTCAGTGACTCTGGCGGCGTTTTAATTTTGTTCAACATATAAAGATAGAATTAAGCTTCAAGCCCAAAATATTAGTATTTATACAGAAATTCATGAACAGACTTTTAAAAATGTCATTTTAGCATGATTGGAGTAAATCAGATCAATTTAATATTTTTGTCATTCATTTGTCATATCCCTTTAAAGCAGTTTTCCAAACAATGTAAGTACAATAACTGACAAATAATCTATTGTTCATACTTTGTTCTCTTAATAACGCATCTATCCATGCTAACTTAAATACTGAATCTTACTTTCAAATATATAATAACTGAACAGTCAGCATCTTTATAAGTCAGTGAATACATTTTGTGCATGTAAAGACTAAAGACCCATGACCCTTAAAAAATCCCAAGTGCTTCCCAAAATGAATGCTTCAGCAGATTGGCTGATGATTCCATTGCCTTTAAATCAATGTTTTGCATGTTAACAGCAATAATTACAGACCTACATCACAAAATATAGGAGCACCAGAGGGAAAATTTATTCTACTCATGTGACCAGTACAGACCAAGATCTGCTAGTAAATCTATGCAAACTGATCAAGTATTTCACTGTTTGCTATTTAGTCAGTACCGGTACATAGTTTGAAATTTTGCTTGAAATGATGAATGGTTTTGTCCAAACTGGAAGACGGACAATTTTTCTGTTTGACTTATGGCACACCAACACAATTTAGGTCATGTAGTGCCCAAACAAGAGAGATGATTATGTCTTACCTCTGGTGTAACAAACTTAATGCAACAGCAGAGGGGCAAAACCACCTCACTTGCTAGAGCTAAGAGATGGATAAACTCCAGCAATATGGCATCGCAAGGGTAATAAGCTTCACATAATTTTTAAAACGACACAAAAAAATATGGCATTACCTTCATAGCTTGTCACTTGTTTTGGCAGAGACAAAGTTCCGACTATGATAATCTGCGTGTTCCTGTTGGTGTTACCATGGCCGTGCCTCTGCTTCTCACAATCCACGCTACGATCAGGACACTGTCGTAAACATACATACATATATGTATAGGTAGTGTGAACAAGTACAAATATTGCCAATATTCAAAATCAAATAACTAATTTTAGCCCTTTGCCTACTAGATTGGCCCTGCTTTGAATTTGGAACAGACCATTACATAAATTAAGGGTATTTCAACATAAAAAATTAACAGAAAAATTGAGTTAAGAAAAGATGTCTATCCTGACTCTTTACAAATGGAATAGGCTGATCAATTCTGGTTCCAACCAGTTTAAGGGTTAAAGTTTTAAACGATTCTGACTCAATAAAATTACAGATTACACTTGCTATATATGAACAATCTTTTGCAATTGATATTGCAATATAATAATGTACAAAAATATGAGGACCTTGAAAGATTTTCATTTATGAACATCATTAAATTTCATCCTCAGATCTTATAAATTTGCTTTGTCATTCCTTCCTTTTTATAAGCTATAAACATTAACCGATATTATATCTATTTAACTTAAATATCAAATGAAACAAAATTCAACCAATAAACACCTATTCATCTACAATATCAAATGATACAAAATTTAAAACTTTTCATTTCCACAGCATATACATAGACATGAAACAATGGGAAAAATCTTGGCGAAATGACTAAAGATGTGAGACATTATCTCCTAACAACCAGTGGTTTGTGTGATTTCTGTAGCAAAAAACACAACAAACAACAAAACTAGAGCTGTCAATAGGACAGCGTGCTCGACTTTTCTCCATGCTTGATAGTAGTAAAACAGGAGCCTGGATAATGTAGAATTGCCTAAGTTAATGTAGAATTGTCTAAGTTCTAAAAGTGACATAAATCTGTCATAGTCTAAATAACTGAGTTATGGGCCGTAGAAAAAAAGACCCATTTTTCCTTGAAGCACCTTTAGTATAACGCCAACATTTTACGCGTCTTAACTCTACTATATTAACAAAAATGACGTCACATTAAAATATATGCACGGCCGTGCAATATCATTTTAAAGGGACTCCACTGAGGTTTAAAAGCCTAAAAACATAACTTTTGAATTTCGTACATAAATGAGCTGGGGCACTTTAGACAGAAATATATGCAAAGATAGTTAAGAAATATACTTTGAAATAATTGAAAATCGTATTAATATGCTTTTTTTAGTCTGATTTGAGTGAAAAGCGTTTAAACGCTTTTCATTTTGGGTCATTTATTTACAATGTGAATAATTATTCTGGGAAAACGAAGTGCGCGAATGATCTGAAATTTTGCACAAAGATTAGAGGTCTAAACCTACATCAAATGGTACATTTATATGGAAAAAAATTTTTCAGTCCCATCATGTCAAAAAACCTCAGTGTAGTCCCTTTAACGGGGTCGTAAAAGCTGCACGGGTGTGTGATAAATGTTATTTATTCTGATAAAGCAATGTAGATAGTGAAACCTTACCAATGGTAGATTGTAGCTACCGCATTTCTTGTCAATACAGCAGATACTAACGTCACACCGCAGAACTGCTGTGGGACTGGTCGCCACTTTTATGTAATTTTCCAGCGTGAACGTCAGTCTCTCACTCTGCGGGGTACCGGACACATAATATTGTACACTACTATCTTGTCCACAACTAATGAGAAATGAAAAAATAATTCATGGTTAATATTACAACAAATAACATAAACTTTCAACACTTAAAACATTTTATAATATATTGGCGGCAAAGACTTTCGGTTCCAAAATTATCGGCGTAAATTTTCTGATGTAACATTCGATATCTTCATTCTTGATGTTTCAGCAGTCGAACAGTTTACCCTGGTCAGATTATTAGTGTCACAGACAAGTGATTTTTACCCTCTCTGATTATCATCATAGCATTATCTATAACAAGAGCAACATGTGGTGTCAAGAAGCATTTGATACCAGACACAACTAAGGTGTAGCCGAAGGTGGCTAATTTTCCAAAGTTTTATGCCGATTTCCGTAAAATTTTCTAATAGCAACCATAGTGTGTGTTTCAGACATTAAATTCAAAGGAAATACCAAATGTTTCAGACATTAAATTCAAAGGAAATACCAAATGTTTCAGACATTAAATTCAAAGGAAATACCAAAGTGCCTGTTTCAGACATTAAATTCAAAGGAAATACTGACGTAAACAAGTCTGCAATAGAGACTTATTGACTGACTGCACAACAACATAAATCTAGTTCAGACAAAACCATATCATGTGGTAGGGTCATAAAAACAACAAACTATAACAACAGCTCACCTTTCTTCTACGAGAGAGTATCTACTGCTTTCAGAATTGTCCAGTTCTGGTGCGAGCCAACAATTCTCCATATTTGCTCGTAATAGTGGGTCCGACATGGCAATTGCTTGAAGATAAAGACGTTTGTTATATTCCTCGATTTTTACTGGGAACCGAATATACGGAGCCAGGAACAAGACGTTATCAAATAGTTGTAACTGTAGTTCAGTTTCCGGCAGTATCTTTGGAGGCAGTTCTATGTCTGGTTTTGGCTGGAAGAAAACCAAAGAGAATTAGTCACATATGTCTGAAAATAATTGTAACAAGCCTTAACTTGCTTAATTTATGTAATAAAGTTGTCTGGCTTTGGTTTTGAACTGTTAAAAATTATCAGTTTTGGAAATGCAAGGATGAAAATTTTAAAAGTTAACCAAGTCATATAACAGGATGAAATTTTAAAAGGTAGCAGAGCCTGGTAAGACTGAATGGTTTTGCATGCTGGCCTGGCTCTGTACTAGTGACAATGGGTAATCACTTTATACTCCAGCAGGTGCAGGGTTATGTAACAAAAAGAAATCAGTATCAGTCATAACGTACAATGCTGTAACATCAATTTTCATGGATAATCCTGATGTTTACCCCAAGCATAGAAGAGATTTTTATGAACAAATTAATTGTCAACTTGCAAAGTTATATCTCTTTTTCTTTCATTTTTTTTATAACTTGGCATGGCCTTAAATTTGCACATTACCCCTCATCCCAATCCAACTCAAAATATACCCCAACAAAACTTATATCACAGATTATAAGCTTACAAACCTTCTAACTTTTAAACTTAATTCTTATCTTGAAATTTATGTTCCCCTCTTTTAAACAATGGACAAATTCACAGGAAGAAAATACGACTTTAAACAACCTCTGTACAGAACTGATTCAAACATCACATCAATGAAGGAAAAAAAGATGTCTGCCCCCAACTCTTACCTCTTGCAAAGGGATACACATGAAGTTGACCTGAACACGCTGAAGCTCCAAATCTTCATCATCCAACATAACATCGGAGATTTCGTTCTCTCCCGACCCGGAGAAAATGTCTTCATTGCCACTCCCCTCCAAAGAATCGTGATCCTTTATGTCCTCTGTTACTATGTTCGTATCATGAACTACAAGCTATAAATAGAAACATGACCCACTGTTACAGGCTATAAATAGTAACATAACCTACTGTTTTGGGCTATATACAGAAATTATGACCTCCACGATTACATAAATAAAAGTTATATCTTAAGTTTGTTTTTTTGGCTATAGATAGAAATTATGACATCTACAATTATATATATGTAGATTAAAGTTACATCTTATTAAAGGGACAGTATTTAGGGGTTTTCTAATATGACGGGACTGGAAATAATTTCAGGGAGAATTTTATACCATTTGATGTATTTCTATGACTAATGAATTTGTGCAAGTTTCAACAATTATTATTCTTATTGCCTAAAAAGACCTAAAAATGAAAAGCTTTATGCGCTATTAACTCAATTCTGGCTAAGAATTGTGCTTAATATCGATTTTCAATTTAAGTCTTGGAATATATTTTAAAAATCTTTTTCATATTTTCGTTTTAAGATCCCCAGTTGAAAATGTAAGATTTTCTAAAATGAGCTAAAAACGGAAAAACCATAGCCTCAATACATATAACAAAAGTGACTTTAATATATCTTTAAAATGAACAAGAGCACTACATGCAATGTTAACACTTGTCTAAAAAAATATTCACATAAAGGTGATACATACAGCATTAGTGAGAGCTTGACGACCAATCTGTGTTGCGATGGAGCTTGTACCGCAAGCACCTGGGGAACTCTGAATGTACACGTGGGTGGCATTTTCCGACGCTGTACAATGAGGATCTAACAGTGTCAGCATGCTCTTCTTTATACCAAGCATCTGGTTAAATAGAGTGAAAATATTTGTTATATAACATGTAGAAAAGTTGTCAATTCATGTTTTGAAACAGCATGCCTCCAGATCCATGCTAATTTTCATGAAAAATTTGAAAAATGTATTTTGAAAGTAAAATATTGTGAAGTGAACAAAGATATTGCATTGCACATTGCAAATGGCACTTACGATCCATGTAAATTGCCAAAAAGTGGTCAAAATATGCATTTAGTTAAGTAAAAATTACATTGTCAAGTCAGACCCATATTGTGTATTCTAGTAATACTGTTTAATTTGCTCTTGCAATGATTGAACCTGAAGTAACCTTTTTATTACCATTGACTTATGCTAGGGTAGCAATCTGACTAGGCTTTGAACTGTTCGCCAATCAATCTGCTTAATTTGTGTAACAGATTTGCCCTGCTTTTAATTTATAACAGTCCAGAGAAAGTTTTTTTAAAGATTTTTTATATCAAAACAGAGATTATGGCAAAAACTACAAGTAATCATTTTCAGTTCAGGCAGGGTAAGGGATGGAGTATTATCTACATAACACTCTTCTTCCCTACTTCTTAAAGAACACTTCTCAAATGGGAGCTTACAGGTTCATTTAAGAAATTTAGTAGTTTCTCAAAGGTTAAAGTAACAGAAACAGGAAAATCGGTACCTGTAGGACAGTTTTATCGACAGAGACTGTCACGGCCTTTGTATCACACTCCGTTCTCAGTGCAATTCTTAAATTGTTCTTCATCTGCTTCACAGTTCGGTCATCTTTTTCCACTGAAAATATTTGAACAGATACACATTAAACCTTTACATCTTATTCTAATAAGTAAATAAAATTTTACAATTAAAGTCAATTTATGGAAAATTTATTTACTTTTTCTCAAGTCATGCAGCTATAACGTAGTCTTAGTTTTATTTTCTTCTTTCAAGTCTCCATAATACAGCAGGTGTTGTATGCAAACTTTTATCTTTTGCTGGTAAATAATGCATTTACCTGCGCCTCTTTATTCAGACTAAGATTGCTACCTTATAGTACCACAAAACAGCTGTATAGGTGTTTTAAGGCATTTATATCAAACATAAATACAACTCAAAATAGAAATAATTCATAAAACCATGCCAGTTTCAGCATAGATAAGAACTGATTAATGAAGGCAATGACAGAGTATCCCGCCAGTGTAATAACTTTATCTGAATGCTCTTCTAAAACATTTGAGCCGTGTCATGACAAAACCAAAATACAGTAAACTTCACATATAGCGAACACGGTTATAGCGAACTGCTGGTTATAAGGAACAAAATTGTTGGCCCGAATTTTACCCTTCTTTATTTAATGTAAAAAATTACGGTTACAGCGAACACGTTTATAAGGAATTATCGCTTATAATGAACTCATTTTTTAGTCCCAATGCCATTAAAAGTACAGAAAATTACACTTTTATAGCGAACTCCAAAATATCGGCTATCCGAAAACAGATCACGCATTTTCTACTTTCGTTTTCATCGCCACAGATTAAAACTTGGCCGAATGTAGCGGATATATTAAAACAAATAATGACGATGACAGTCAATCATCCGAAGACGAGATCTATTTAGATGATCTGCCTGTTGTGTCAAAAAATGAAGCTATTGATTGTTTGCACAAGATTAGGTCTAATGCACATGTTGAAGAAACAGTTTTTAAAAGTTTATCGGATCTGAAGAGTTGTAAACATTCCCAAACTAAAAGTAGCAACTTCTTCAAAGCAAAGTGATTATTTTTATGCATGATACTGTATTATTAACAAGAATGTCGAACGACACATATACCCCCCTTTCTAGCCATTGACTCACATAATTGATAATTTTATTACATAAACTTGCCAAAAATGGGTACATGGAAGTGTTCAATTATGGAAAAATCAACGGAAACCATTTTGACATTTAAGACCCATGTGACATTGACCTTTGACCTAATGACCCCTAAATCAATAGAGGTCATCTACTTCTTATGAACAATAACTAGGTGAAATATGAAGACTTTGTGATGAATACTTTTCAAGATAATCAGTGGAAACCCTTTTGACATTTAAAGCCCCTGTGACCTTGACCTTTGACCTAGTGACCCCAAAATCAATAGGGGTCATCTACTACTTATGACCAATCACTATGTGAAATATGAAGACTTTGTGATGAATACTTTTCAAGATAATCAGCGGATACCATTTTGGCATTTTAAGGTCCCTGTGACCTTGACCTAGTGACCCCAAAATCAATAGGGGTCATCTACTAGTGATGACCAATCACTATGTGAAATATGAAGACTTTGTGATACATACTTTTCAAGATAATCAGCGGAAACCATTTTGACATTTAAGGCCCTTGTGACCTTGACCTTGGACCTAGTGACCCCAAAATCAATAGGGGTCATCTACTAGTGATGACCAATCACTATGTGAAATATGAAGACTTTGTGATACATACTTTTCAAGATAATCAGCAGAAACCATTTTGACATTTAAAGCCCCTGTGACCTTGACCTTTGACCTAGTGACCCCAAAATCAATAGGGGTCATCTAATAGTTATGACCAATCACTGTGTGAAATATGAAGACTTTGTGATACATACTTTTCAAGATAATCAGCGGATACCATTTTGACATTTAAGGCTCCTGTGACCTTGACCTTTGACCTAGTGACCCCAAAATCAATAGGGGTCATCTACTAGTGATGACCAATCACTATGTGAAATATGAAGACTTTGTGATAAATACTTTTCAAGATAATCAGCGGAAACCATGTGGTCTACCGACGGACAGACAGACGACCGACAGACAGACAGACAGACCGACATTAGCAAAACAATATACCCCCTCTTCTTCGAAGGGGGGCATAATAATAAATAACAATATTGCATATATGGTACATATCATATAATTATCTTATAGATATGTTTATACATAAAAAATTATATTAAAAAGAAACAACATTGCAATTAATCCTTTTTTTTCTTTATTGAATCAATATAAGGGAGACAACAATGACGAACCAAAAAGTTATTTCTCTTAATCAAATGTTCTTCAAAATGGAGGACAATGGTAAACAATTAGTTCGTTATTTGTAAAACTGTTCGCTATAAAAACTTCTGATACAAGGAACTAATTCGCTATATGCTTACAAGGAACTCTGGATATAAGGAACAAATTTTGAATGTCCCAATGAGTTCGTTATAAGCGGAGTTTACTGTAATGGGTTTGCGACCAGCATGGATCCAGACCAGCCTGCGCATCCCCGCAGTCTGATCAGGATCCATGCTGTTCGCTATCAGTTCTCTACTTGTAATAGGGTTTGTAAGCGAACAGCATGGATCGTGATCAGACTGCGCGGAAGCGCAGGCTGGTCTGGATCCATGCTGGTCGCAAACGCACTATGTTGGTTTTGTCGTGACACGGCTCATTTGCTCTCTCAACAGCTAATTCTAGCTTGTTGCATTTTAAGTCACAACAACTCAGTTGACAAAGGTCATATGGCGACATTCCAGCTTTACTAGTGGAGGAAAACGTCACAGGGGCCGCTTCCTGCATCATTTCAAGCACAAGGAGGTTTTCCCGAGTAGAACCAACAATCTTCCGTAAGCTAATTAAGAATTTATTAATTTAATTACCTATTTCCGGAAAGGAGATCTGTATCCTGTTTGAGTTGTTCATGGAGGTGTACATGGAAATAGGTACGTCGAGGTAATATTGTACCCATCTCAGTAAGTCTAGACCCGTCTCCCGCAGTTCCTCCGACCTCACTGATACTGTCTCCACCCTGATGCCAGCCATATCCACGTAACTATTGGCCTGGAATTTTACAACATAACATTTATAGCATCACTCACAAATGACAAAGGAATGTTTCGAAGATCTTAAGCTGCATTTCATTTATCAAAATATTAATTTGAAACTAATATATAAACAATATATGTAATGGTATTAAGTGTATAATAGCAAGTGGATATGAAAGAGTTTATTCTAATCTTAAAGGAACTATTTTTAACATAAAAAAATTCTTTCATGCATCTCTTACATCTAAATCGCCATACATCAAGTAAACTATTATTACTTTATTAACACAAGACAATTCTCCCCCCCCCCCCTAATTTCCTCCCCCATTTTTTATCTTTAAATGAGCCGTGCCACGACAAAACCAACATAATGGGTTTGCGACCAGCATGGATCCAGACCAGCCTGCACATCCGCGCAGTCTGATCAGGATCCATGCTGTTCGCTTACCAACCCTATTACAAGTAGAGAAACTGATAGGCAGCAGCATGGATCCTGATCAGACTGCGCGGATGCGCAGGCTGGCCTGGATCCATGCTGGTCGCAAACGCATAACGTTGGTTTTGTTGTGACTCGGCTCAAATATGAAAACAGCTCACATACCACTATATGAATCAATCCCTGCATCTTTTTGGTGTAAACACGCCATGTGACTTGACTCGGAGCTTTCAGGACAAGTTTAGTCTCACGTTCCCCATGCTGACGGGAGTGACCTCTCAGATCCAAGTGAACTTCAAACTTGTCAACATCTGGAACTTCCTTCAGTTCAATCACATATGCGACCCTAATATAATTATAAATACTGTGAATTCACTTAATTTCTCAGACATGAAATTCAAGGCGTTCTTAAAAGTCTTGGACTGTTTATTTTTTTAAACGTTAAAAATGTAAATAATCTTACAGCAGACGAAATGAAATTTCGATGGATCTTAAACTCATGGATTTACCAATCCACTAAAAGCCACGAAAATGAGATCACCCACAAATAATAATGATTTTGCAGTATATGATCAGAGATAAAACTTACATCATAGCAAAATAGTTCTGTGAACTTTAAAGGTAATATGGCAACTTTCCAACTTTACTGATGGAGGAAAACCTTGAACCTGCACCTGTCTAGAACAATCTGTGGCTTCTTCACATGAAAGAATCTAACAACTCAGGTAGGATTCAAACCCACAGCCAGAGAGGCAACTGATTTGAAGTCAACAACCTTTACCACTCAAGCTTTTACTGATGAAACAAAATTAAAGGCTACCTTCTGTGGAATATTTCTGGCACATACCTACTGACAGCTGGTTAATTTCCACCTGTATAATTATAACATAGCAAGTCTGCGCATCTGTGTAGTCTCTGACCTGGCTCTATACTGTTGGCTATCTATTTTTGGTTTATTACGAATTTAATTTAGTTTGACTGTGTAGGAAGCTGTAAGCTGTAACATTTTCCAATCTGTTCCTGGAAAATCAACCAGTACTGAGCAATGTGTGTAAAGTTTATTGCTCAGGGAAATGACAACTTGCCCCTGACGGGGTTTGAACCCATACCACTAGCGATCATTAGGTAACTAGTCACACATGTAACCACTAGGCCATACAAGCTATCCATTTTTTAAATTTTCATATTCATAAATGTGATGAGCAAGCTTCTTAGCAACAATGGCAAAAGGGCAACTTGTCTGATGATGATCTCAGTGACTTGAATGAATATATAAGTGAGCATAAAATGATCTTACTTGTATATAGGTCCAGGGTATCTGTCCTGCATTAGACAACCCTCTACTGGCTGTGACACCATGGAAATGACCTTCACATTTGGTTCTTCAAGGTCACTACTCGTCAATGAACATGTGGCTGATGAGGATGAGGATTGTTGGGCTGTAAGTGGAACAATGAAAAACTTTAAAGGCCCATTATACTCCAGAAATGTTTTTAATTATATTTTCAAAAGCTTTTTATTTTTGGTGTACTACATGTAGTATTGTTTTCAAAAACTTACTTATTGGCCAATTACATAACCATCCTTTTCTTCTGTTGCATACAGTTATACTGAAATAGTATTTTGTATGGCAGTCACAAAACCTCTTTGTTTACATTTTGCTACTTTTATGACAAATAATTTCAAATTAAGCACTACTTTCTTTAGGTAACAAGCATCTAACATGCTCATAAACCATAATATAAACTTTATAGAACTTTAGTTGAAGAGAATTTTTCTTCATTTCTGAGCCAAATGTGCCTTAAAACATGATTCAATTGACATAACTGATGGAACATGTAGGTCGATTTGGCAGGGTAAAGAAGAAAAGACAGCTACACACTAATCAAATATAAATTCATAATAAATATAAAATATAAATGAAAGTATAAAACAAGATTTTTGTAGGAACTTTTGTATCTCATGCCCTATATCCCTAATAATAACACAAAAAGTGTGATCTGTAATTATAATGTCTGAAGAAAAGCAGCTCAAAGAAGGTAGAGTTGTGGAATAGCATAAAGTGTAAGTACATGTACTTGTTTGATTAAAATCCAAACAGTTTGTACATCTTTCTTAATCTAGGACTATGATAATATCATGCTAAAGAGACAAAAATACAGACAGGCAAAAAGGGATAGACCTTGACAATTCTCAATTACACAAATTTTTTTTTTTTCTCTCTCACCTTTGCCAACAGTAAGTGTAAGATGGTTGCCGCCGGGAACTGATGTGAAGGTCGTTACTACCGAGTATCTCTTGGTTACCCAGGTCAAAAGGTCATCTGATTCAAATGGAAGATTTTTAGGCTTTGAAATGGTAGGACGTGATGACAGGTGCTTGTAGGCAAACCGCAATCCAGAACCTTTAGCCACCTGAAAGTACAATTGTTCATAAATTTACTATCTATTTTCATTATAAATTTGTTTTCAACTTTCAACTTAACACTTCTCTGCAAGTCCTCAAATAATATGTACTTCTCTGCAAGTCCTCAAATGTATCATTTCAAATAATACGTATCATTTCAAAGGAGAAATATTTTTATGATGACATTACGCCTGGATAAACAAGTTTTTTTCAAAAGGAGAAAGATTTTTATTAGACTATAATTATCTTCTGTTCTAATCTTTTCCTTTCAGTATAAAAAGGATATTCTAGATTTTTCTATAAATATAGGATTTATTTTCTTTGAGTGGTATAAAAGGAAATATTTCACCAGTGGTGAGAGCCACAAGTGAAATATGATAATTTTCATATAATACAAAATGAAAATAAATCCTGTATTCATAGAAAAAATACTTGAATTTTCTTTTTATTATATACCTTTTCTCTTTTTTGACCTTACAATTCTTAAAACTTCTACCTTAATTTGTATATTCGCTTAATTAAGAAGAAAGTAGTCCGGCAAGACACCAGTGCAAATACAGAAAATATGTTTCCCTGGAGTGAAAAATATTTTTTTACAGTGAAAATACAGAAAATCAAAATAGGAATTTTATTTTATCAATATTTCTCAATATTTAATTTTCAGTATATAATAACTGATCTGACATGTATTATAATTGTATTATGTTGATATGTATATATTTGGGAAATAAATTGTTTAATTCAAATTTATTTAAACTAAATTATACATGCAATCTAGACATTAAACAATTATTCAGTCAATGAGTATCATACAAATTTATTTCCCAGGACTCATCTTAATTATTTTAATAATTTCAGAAACATTTTTTTCTCTCAGGATGAACAACTCCTTACAATCATTCTAATGCCTCAACAAGAATTAGCTCCCTTACTCAACTTTTCTTTTTCTATTCTCCTACTGTAACAAACGGAGAAAAACTATGGCATGATGCCAATTTTCCCATGAGCCATAAAATCAATCAAGTAATTTACCAGAAAGAATAATGTCAAGCTTAAGAGTGCATCTTCACATGTTTAGAACTCAAGTTAGGTCAACAGAAATCTTAGAAAACTGGAGAGAAAAGAAAACAACCCAGAAAAGTACACCATGGTGTTAAATAAGAAAAATAATGTACGAGCTTAATTGACCTAAATGAATCTGGCCTAGTTAACAAAGCTGATAAAAAAAAAAGAGTAATTTCTATCCTGTAAATTTCTCATTCCGTGAGAGAGAGAAAAAAACACCATCCCAACACTGTTTGTTATTATTACCGATGTTGTTGTATAATGATGTTATTATGTATGACCTAATTAAGTGTTTTGGTTTGTTTTGTAGATAAATCGTTATTATGTTTGCAAATTGTATAATATAATATTATGGCCTGTCAGATTCACACATAACCTGCCGGCTTCCACTGCTTCTACCAATGTGACCACTGCAGATCACGGGCAACCTGCACGACCCGCCTAAGATGCATCAGCTGATCGTGATATACAATGTACACTGTTTACTTTTCAGTCAGTATAATTATGTTTTGAAATTTTCCCCTAAAACTGATGAATGGTTTAGTCCCAAGGCTGTGGGTATAAAGAAATATTTTAATCTCAAACTCACATCTCAGGTATTTGATTGGTCAGAAAAAGGCACAGAAAGTGAATTGACCAATGAAAATCTTCAGATTCGAGCTTGATCTCAGGTAAAGGTTTTATAACCTTGTGGCCAGATTAAAAAGATGGCCAAGTCCATTTACAACCTTTTTAAGTGGTAAGTTAATAAAAGGTTAATGATAATCTCTAAAATCACAGACGTACTTTAACATTATTAAAATACTTAAAATTTTGTATAAATAGCCGAAAAACGTTCAAGAAAAAGGGAATTTTAATTTCAAAAAAAACATACATCAATTAAAAAATTCACTGAAACATCAAGTTCTACAGTAAACTGAGACTTTCTGCGTTTCTAATTTAAGAAGTTCCACATAATCAAGAAGAAAAAAACACATACTTTATTCCCCATCAAAATTTGTTTCCGCAATATTATATCTGGATTTACAACATTCAGGGAATGGGAGTGGCGATGAACTACTAGTCAGCTGAGTTTGTTCATTATATTTAGTAATACTATAATTTTTATATAAATATATATATTTTATATATTCTTTCTTTTTAAAGAGTGGTAAAAATATGTAATTCTGACATAATGAGGTACATGTACATAATAAGCCTTGCTCTGAATTTGATCTTTTTTAAATTCTTAGTTAGCATCTTCAGAACATCAGAACACAAAAAATACAGTAATCTCACTTTAAAAGTCCTAGGTTCATCAAAACACCACTAAATTCAAACTCCCTATTGCTAATTCACAGGTGCCCAAAAAGCAGTCGGACCAGACTCTACATTTTGTCGCCCATTTTTAGTATTATAACACACAAAACCCCTTAATATCCAAAAATGGACTAGTCTATGCTTTCAATCGGGACCAAACTATTTATCATTCGTGGGGAAAATTTCAACATAAGAACTGACTGAATAGTGAACAGTGCAGACCATGATCGAATGGCTCGGACAGGTAGAGTCAGTCCCTGTCAGCAGACTTAGAGATTGACACCTCAAAACTTCATCATTCAATAATGCTTTATGGACATTTCTGAACTCAAAGCAGGACAAATTTATTTATGGAATCATTTTATAAAATAAGTATGTTACACATATATATATATATTCAACATGTGAATGTTAACAAGGCAAGTTTCAGGTACCGTGGCATATATTCATACGTGACTGTATCCATGCAAAAATCACAGGTATTCAAAATGGTGCCAATGAAGGAAAGCAGTTAAAGGTTGAACCAAAAATAACCCGCTTTATTTAGGCCGAGAAAAAAATCTCTCCATTTCTACTTCTAGTCAGTCCTATTGCATATAGTAGCTTATATGGACTCTTCTAGAATTTGTAGTTATCTTATACTTCCTGACAAAAAGCATCAGCTTGCATTAATTCTTTATTTCAAAACATTTCAGCTCGTTCTTCAAATTTCGTCACCTTAACACAGTAACAGGTTAACTCTTACTAAATTATATAAGGAGTTAACCTATTACAGCTCTAAGCTGATACAAAATGTGTGCAGCAAGAAATCCCTACAAGAGACCCGACCGAGAGTTTTACGTCTATTTAACAATTTCAGTTGAAAAGTAGCTGGGGCACAAGCATGCAACCCTTGTAACAGCGTTATCACTTAAACAAGGTATCTGACCTGAGATGTTAATTTATCAACAATTATTGATGCCTTGAACTAGTAATATACAGATCGCTGGTTGTGCGGGTGTAAACCCCAGTGGGGGGGGCAAGCTGTTCTTTTCTAAAGAACAAGAAACTTTACACTCATTGCTTAGTACTGGTTGGTTTTCAGGGACAGATTAGAGAGCTTATAGCTTCCTACACAACTGAAATATAATACATTCTGTATAAATTCCAGCACTCCTACAATGAAATAGTCTCCTTACATTTTGTGACTTTGATTTTTAGTCACAATGACAATGTCAAGGTCATATAGAAACTTTCAAAGCGAGACCTCAGATGCAAGCAGGCACATCGATTCAGGGTTGTCATTTAAATCGATGTAAAAAAATGTTTTATTTAGGAGTGAGGCAGCCCAAATTGCAATTATTTTAGCCTACAGATTCCTTAAATGCAAACCTTGTGAGTAGAACCACCCTTCTTCTTGTAAATAAATAGATTTTTAGTCTCAATATACATGCAAAGTAACATTAAAAAATCTTCAACATGGATAATAATATTATTGTTACTTGCCTATAAGAAATAAAGTATCCTTATCTATTTCTTACATAGTTTCATTACTAATACAAACTGGGACAACTGCAGCAGTACTGGCTGTTGAAATAAATAAGTAACCATGTTATACTTTGAAATTCAGGGATTAAATTGAAAATCTGAGGTATTAATCTGATGAGATTTAAATTATGTCATCCATGTTGAAAACTGATCAGAGCATTTTCAGGTCTCAAATCAAATTCCAATTTTTCTGAGAAATAAAATTTACCAAGTGTTAATAATCTTACAATTTTTTGTAAACAGATATGTTATGTGTTAACCTGGCAATTGTTTTCAAACATAAAAATGTGTTAATCTTAAAATTGTTTGTAAACAGATATATTATGTGTTAATCTGGCAATTGTTTTCAAACATGTTATGTGTTAATCTGGCAATTGTTCTCAAATATGTAATGTGTTAAACTGCAAATTGTTTTTAAATATGTTACGTGTTAATCTGCCAATTGTTATCAACTATGTCATATGTTAATCTTGCAATTTTTTACAGATATGTTATGTGTTACTCTAGCAATCGTTCATGAATCTGTTATGTTTTAATCTTGAAATTGTTTACAGATATGTTATGTGTTAATCTGGCAACTGGTTACAAAGAATTGCAATGACTTAATGTATTAAATTTCTTGCAACTGGTTAAAGGGAAAATGTCATGTGATACGTTTTAATCTGTTAAATGGTTACTGAGAATGTTTTGTATCAATCTGGTAATTCAGGTTACGGATATGTAATGTATAGTAATTTGGCAATTTCAGTTACAAGAAAGGTCACATTGTTATCTGAAATACAGCATATTTTTTATTTCCAATTGTTATACTACATGTTTACTTTTCTATGAGAAACATTCCAATCCTTTGTTAAGCCCAATCAAAACATTAAAATCTTATTTACATTTTTATGCCAAGAGATGATTAAGAATTTGATATGGCAAATAAAAAAACCAGAAAAAAAAATGCTAATAAAAGTGCAAATGTACTTTACTAAATATAGAAAATTTGAAAATTGAAAAAAAATTCACAATTATTGACAAATGACAATAAAAGGCTTATAATCCCAGTGAAATAAGTTTCGTATTTTCTATATTTACTTTGCACTTTATTCCATTATGTGTCAATAAAGCGATC